TGGAAACAGTGATAAGAAACAGGGCAAAGATCATAATTATACCTAGGGAAATAAAGAGACCTACACTCTTTGCCCCAGGCTAACATGTTATTATCAAGAGATGCCTTGGAGGATATAGTTTTCAACTGGCATAGTGACTCCTTATAGAATGCAGTTCAGAAATTTGTGGGTGCTCATTTCTGACATTTAATGGTCAGGGATGCTAGACGACCTGCAGTATTTAAGTGGTACCTTACTTCAAGACTTTCTGCATACAACTCTTTAGTGTTCCTTTCATTCATAACGGGAGGAAAGCTGCATGTAGCTACCTAAATCAAGGACCTGACTATGTTTCTTAATCTTACTATGGGGTCCAGGTTGGCTTCTGGCCTATCGCTCCTGACTGCTGGGATTACAGATGTGCTACCACCCCTTGCTGATGGTTTATCTTCATTGTTGACTGGATTGAGAAGATGCCGAGGGGATTAATAAAAAAAGTATACTTCTAGGTGTGACTCTGATAGCTTTTCAAAGCTGTTGAGATCATAAAAACTCTGAAATAATGAATGATTTAACCATTCATAGATTGATAATTATATTATTGTGAAGTGGTGAAAAATAGGATGTGTGGCCTAGTGGAGAAAGTAGGTCACTGGGGGCATTCTGTTAGAGGCTGTTTCTTGTCTGTTTCCTGGCTCTTTCACACTGCTCTGCTCCACTACATGCTTCCTAGTGTCTGAGTTACTTTCTGTTGCTGTGATAAAACACTGACCCAAACCATCTTGTGGGAGGAAAGGGTTTATTTCACCTTACAACTTGGTTTATCATGAAGGGGAGAGGAACAGGGGCTCAGATCAGGAACCTGGAAGCACAAGCTGGAGTGGAGACCATGGGGGACCATTACTGGCTTGTTCCTCTGGTTTGTGCTTGGCCTGCTTTCTTATAGAACCCAGGACCACCTGCCTGGGGATGGCACCACTCACAGTGGGCTGGGCCCTCCCACATCACTCAACAATCAAGAGGTTGCCTCATAGACATATGCACAGGTCAATCCAACAAAGTTAATTTCCAGTTGAGGTTCTCTCTTAGGTGTGTCAAGTTGATTACTGAAACACACCTGCTAGGATGGCTGATACCTCTGAAATCGTGACCTGAAGTAAATTCTCCTTTTATTTTTTAAAGTGCCAGGTATTTTGTCACACTGTTGTGAAAAGTAGCTACTATACCTGGGCTAGCCTTCAATTCTGGATCTTCCTGTCTCTGCCTCCTGAGTGCTAGCTAGAATTACAGATGGGTGCCACCATGTCTAGCTTGAAATAGAAACATTTTTAAAACTTCACTTGATGTTTATATGAGTATAAAAGTTCAACATAATTACTATGTTTTTTTTTTTGTGCAACACTGTGATATACCATCAGTATATACACTGAATTTTGTTACACAGTGATTAGAGATCGTGATTTAGCCTGACTCTCCTCTACCAGCTCTCAGCTTTCAGGTAGAGAAACATTGTGAAATTTCTGCTACTGATGCATGATTCCACAGAGTTTGTAAAATGGTCTTAAGAGGTAGTGTCTGTTTTGAACAAGGAGAAATGCTTTAAGTTCTGTTTTACATCCTTTACTCACCCTGGCTGGCTGGGAATTCCTGTAGACCAGAGTAGCCTTGAACTCAGAGATCTGCCTGCTTCTGCCTCCAGGGTGCTGGAGTTTAAGGCTATGTGCCATAACACCTGGCCTTCATATTGTTGTTTTTTTTAAACTTCAAAAAAACTTATTGAGAATTTCATACATGCGTAAAAGGATCAAATCCATGCCTACTCCCTCCCCTCCAACTCCTCCCATATCTCCCCATCACTTTTTCCTGAACAACTTTGTGTTCTTTCTCTCTCTCTCTTTTTCTTTCTTTCTTTCCTTCCTTCCTTCCTTCCTTCCTTCCTTCCTTCCTTCCTTCTTCCTTTCCATCCATCCATCCATCTGTTGTATGTTTGCTTGGTATGGGGCTTTTTGCTACTCTAACATTGTCCCCTCTAAAGAGGTAACCCTAAAATCTTTTAGGGATTAGATAAGAGCTCTCAAACACTTTTGACATTTTTGGCCTTTGGAACAGAGTATGTTGTTAAGAGGCCCAAGGACATTTAGATTTTTAGCCAAGAAACTGGCTACTTCTCTTTGGGGTCTTTTTACCCTAACTGCCTAGCCAATTCCTACCTCCTATTCTTACCACACCATTCCCTGAAGAGGTTACCCAAATTGCTGATAGGCAGTCAGGATGCAGACTGCTCTGGCTTCTTCCATGGTGAACAGGGATGCAGGGTGAGGCAACTGGAGTACCCCTTCAGTGGGTCTATCTAAAAGACTCTTAACTGAAGGGAGAAAAAAAAATGTCTTTGACTGGTGCCTAGGAGATGTGGAGACGAAAGGCAAGAGTAGTTAGCATTACAAGTTCTAGATAGGGAACCAGAAAAAAGTCAAAACAGGGCAAATTTCAAATGTTCATATCAGAATCCACTGGAATTTCTTGATGAGAGCTTTCAAAAGCATCCCTCCACTGGGTTCCTCCTCCCTTTTCTTTTGTCTGCCAAGGCTGGACTCGAGAGTGATGAACTCAGGATTTGTTTTCAGGCACTTTGATAGCTGTTGGAGTGGTTAGAATCAGTGTCAGTTCCCTCGCAAAGGCTTCTACACAGGGGGAGAAAACAAATTTAGCCATCATTTTAGAACAACAGTGGGTTTGTCTCCCTTAGCTACAGGTGGGCACTACAGTATTGCAGACCAAGATTTGAAGTCTTACATCTGAGCAGCACTTTCTGATTAGAAACAAAATCATCAATGAGAAATAGTTGTCTAAATAACAATTTATATGGACTTAAGCCTAATGTCTGGGAAGTGTAATCCCTTGAACTCTTAAAGAAATATACTGATTCCTTTAC